ACTTTAACCCGCATGGTGAGGAGCTGGCTAGAGGAGAGGGGCCAGCCGCCGTAGAGAGAGTAGTGATTGATTGATTGATGTGTGCGGGGCCTGCCTGCAGATGCTAAAAGTATGTGGCCCAACAGGGACCCCAAAATGTAGAGGCCTTAATTGCACGCCTAGAGAACCACCAAGTGACTCTGAGCCTGATGAAGCCTGAAGTGAATAAAACTCTACCTTGTAAACCAAGGCAAGAGCGAGATCCCCCTAAGAAGTACACCGAAGCGGTTCCAGCAAGACCTCTAAAAACCCAAGGGAACTGGAAGGAGAGAGAGGCCTCTGCGGAGTCCTGTGGCATTCCGATGCTTCATATGTGGAAGAGAGGGACATCTGGCCCGGGATTGTCCAGGCAGAGAGGAACTTATGCCCGCCGCCAGTACCTCAGATTCGTCAAGACGCCCATGCCACTTCCTTACCACCTGCTGGGCCCATGAGGGGGCAGCTGCCCCTAGGGTCCCGTTAAGATCGGAAGCCCTTATAGACACAGAAGCCCTTATAGACTCTGGGAGTATGGTCACACTGATCAGACCAGAGTTTGCAGGACCTGTCCTGGGAAGTGAGATTACAATGTCTTGTATTCATGGGGACACCAGGAGTTACCCTACTGCAGAAGTAAGCATGGTCACCCCTCGGGGGCAGTTCCAGGTACAAGCAGGAGTTGTGGATCACTTACCAGTTCCTGTCCTGGTTGGCTGAGACTGCCAAGCCTTTTCTGCCTACTGGACGAGTCGAGCTAGGGAGAGGAAGAGACCCACCCGACGCAGACGAAGAGACCATCTATCCAATCATCACCCTTCTCTGACCACTGAAGAGATCACAGGTGAAGAAGCAACCAGCCCGGAAGAGCCCCTCAATGGTAATAGAGGTGAGGATGACCATTCTGACCCCACAGCCTCAGAAGACCCCAACGGTGTGCAGGCTGTTGATGACATTGAATCCTATGAAGTATTTTCTGAATTTCCCTCAGCAGAGGTTTTCCAGGAAGGAAGACTGGTACAGTTTGGCTCTGCTCAATTGCAAGACCCGGTTCTGCGCCAAGCATGGGAGAATGTTCAGGTGGTTGAGGGCCAACTACAAGATGGGGTGAGTAGGCTGACTTATCCACATTTCATGATAAAGAATCAATTGTTGTATAGAGTGGATCAGCGAAGAGGTGAAATTATAGAACAGTTGTTGGTCCCCCAAACCATATGCCTCTAAGGTCTTATAGTTAGCTCACACTCACCTGCTGGGAGGTCACTTGGGGGCAGAGAAGACCTACGAATGGATCCTCACACGATTCTATTGGCCTGGGGTCAAGAAGGCTGTTAAACTATTGTCGTCACTGTTCTGAGTGTCAGCTCCACAGACCCAAGGTAACATATCGAAATCCCCTTATTCCTCTCCCGATACTTGAGAACCCTTTCAGCAGGATTGCGCTGGACATTGTGGGGCCCCTGCCAAAATCCAACCGGGGACACCAATACATCCTGGTCATCCTCGACTACGCCACCTGTTTCCCAGAAGCGATACCTCTCCGATCAGCCACCTCAAAAGCTGTGGCCAAAGAACTGGTCCAACTCTTCAGCTGGGTGGCGATAGCAGATGAGGTCCTTACGTACCAAAACTCATGTTTCATGTCTACAGTGATGAAAGGGACCTGCCGACAACTGAAGGTAAAGCAACTCACAACCTCCATTTTCCACCCCCAGGCTGATGGGCTTGTGGAGAGGTTTAACAAAACTCTTAAACGAAAGTTGTTGATGGGGAAAAGTTGGGATCAGCTGTTACCCTATGTCTTGTTCTCTATTCGAGAAGTCCCGTAGAGTTCCACTGGTTTCTCACCCTTTGAGCTCCTCTATGGGTGTCTGCCTCGAGGGTTGCTGGACCTTGCCAAGGGAAGTTGGGAACAACAGCCATCGCCACATCACACCATCATTGAGCATGTCGAACAGATGAAGGACCGAATAACAAGGATCTGGCCAATCGTACGTGAACACATGCAGCATGCCCAACAACAGCAGGCCAGATGATACAACAGAGGGGCACAAATTTGAGAATTTCATCCAAAAATTATTAGTTTTAATCCCATCCAGTGAATGCAAGTTCCTGTAGATGTAAGTTCAACAGGGACGTCGGTAGACTTGAACCTCACCTGCTAATCCATCTATTTTGCCTACCTTTTTCAGATGTAATTGGATGTTACAAGGTGCAACCCAAGAGAGAAAAGCTACTTTAGTTCCATTTTCTCCCTGTTCCCTCTCCCCACTGTTCTAAAAATAAAGTTAAGTTTTGCCTTGATTCAACCTCTGCCTCTTGCATCGTTCCTTTCATATTCTTGATTGTTACCCACCCAGTCCTGGGTCTAAAGGTGACAATATATTATATATTTCATAATCGTAAGTCATAATAGTGCAAACTATGCAGTATATCACATGAAAGTACTTTCCTGTATCAATTCAGTTATTATGCAATATAACTTAACATTTACAATGCACATTTAGTAATTCCTCAGATATATTGATTCTGACATTATTGTGACTTGTGACAAGTATTCTGTTCTGTGATAGAAGTAGTCTTGCCCTAATCCTTTCTGTGTGAATTCTGGTTCCGTAAACCTGCCCGTGTGTCATCAGATAAGTGGGATTATTGTGAATATGTGATGAGACTGTGAATGTGCTTCAGCTTCACTGCTGTGAGTGCTTGTCTGATCTGGTGCTTTATATGACTTTACTGTTAATATACCTACTGTTATTACTTTATATATATATATACATATATATATATATATGTGTGTAAATATATATGTAAATGTTTTATTTCCATTTTTGATTGGGCTTTATGCGTGCATATGGACCGTTAAAATATTTACAATTACTATTAAAGACCTCAGTGATACTGTTCATGACTGCTTGGCCAATTGTAGCAACTTGGGAAAGACTGTCTGTTTATGTCAGTGAGAAAGTTTTATTTATCATTTGTGTTGTATGTGTTTGTTTGTGATCATTTTACTGTGAGTATGCGTGAGTATTTATTTCTTTAAGCCACATTTTGTTTGGTCTGGAGAGAAGCTGAACCACAAATGTCCACTGGTTTGAGAATCCATCAGTCCATGCAGACCTCAGGCCATTGCATTACATACTCCTGTGGCCTTGGCTTAGTGTGAGAAAAGATATTTATCATAGTTATAAATTATTTTTATGTGGGGGGGAAAGATAATTCAACTATAATAAAAGGAGAGGATAGTGTGGGGGAAAAAAACACGAAATATTTAATATATTCAGGAAAGCGTTTGGTACAGTCGAGTGCTATTTGGTATTTAGTCTGTATTTACTTGTATCTTTTTAAAAGGAGATATACATTCTTTTTCAATTTGAAACTGTACTGTACAAAATAAGTGATTTGAAATGAATTTGGCATTGAAATGAATTTCAATGCTGGTTGCCCATAAACAACAAAACAGAGATTTGTAGGATGAGAGCGACTATTGGTTTGCATTTTTCTTACATTTCAAATCGCATCAAATCAGCATTCATTGATTTTTCCTGTTACTCTTATGTGACTTCAGAAGCACTGATGTTATCATCAGCACTGAGCTGTTGCCTAGATTGATGTTCTGCATGCAAAAGCAGGTTTAAGAACTGCAGCTCAAACTGTGACTGTGACTGATTCTAGCCTGTCAGTAAGAATGATTCAAAGGAAAGTGATTTGATCCCTGCAGGGGTTGTGTTGACCGATGGGGGGCTGTTGAACTGCCATTTACCTCCTTAAGTGCAGGTGTGTGTGAGTGACCAGCCTTCTGGGCATCTGTACTAAAATCAAGCTGAGCCAATTTTGCGTGCTCTGAACTGGAGATCACAATGTCTGTGCGTCTTTTCCATATTTCTTTTAAAAGTTGGACCACCTTTTGTTTTAAATATTCTTGTTGGCCTACTTAATGTTAAAGGAATAGCCTAAAAATGACTATTCTCATAATCATTTACACATCCTCATGTCGTTCCGAAACTGTATGACTTAATAACCAAACAGTTTTGGTTCCCATTGATTTTTTTTGTTTTTTTTTTGTAGTTGTATGGACAAAATATACAATGGAAGTCAATGCTCACTTTTGTTACCAACTTTCTTCAAAATATAATTTATGTTCCACAGAATAAAGAAAGTTTGGAAGGACATGAGGTTGAGTAAACAATGACAGAATTGTCATTTTTGAATGCACTTTCCATTTAATGATGATGCGTTCTGCAAATACAACATTCTCACACTTTATAATGTTGTTTTTAATGTTAAAACACATCTGTGGTGGTTACACCTAAAACAGCAAGGTAATAATAGACTACTTTAAACTACAACACATTGCATGTTAATTGCGATTGTGTTACATTCAGTTCGCCCTGAAGTATTTTTTAAGTATATTATTTCTGTAATAAGTAGCCTACTCTTTAAAAAAAAAAAAAAAAAAGTATGCTAAAGTGTAGGCTACTTCCTTTCCACAGGGGTAAATACAACGACTTGCATTCATTTGTGAAATTATAACATTTCTCTACTTTCTAGGCAAACAATTGTTAGAAAATGATGCAAAATATATTTTTTCCACAGAGGTATCAAGTTTTTGAACCCCACTGTTTGCCTGTGTGAAACTCCATCTGTGTTTCATTTTAATTTGGTGTAAAATTTATAATCTGACAGACAAAAATGACCATTTAATCCCGTGTTACGTCATATTGGTACCTTCACATACTTGAACAATTGTCTACTCGGGAGTATGTAAGGTCATGTCACTATGCTGCTCTAATTTCATAACAATCGTCTTTGTGTGTGTATGATATATAAGTGTGCGAGGCTGTCACAGGGCTACTACGGCGCGAGTTGACAGTTATTCTGCCACGCGCTCGCAGACTGAACGGAATCTGACATCTGTACAACCCTCGCTCTAATCGCGTTTAACGCTTTTATCTTCCGTTGAAAAGTCTTCCGGTGTACGGCTCTCTGTCAGCTACGCGAGTGATGAGCGGCGTCGTGCGCTCGGTGAGGAAGGGCATCTCGTGTCCGACGCTAGACTCGAACTGCACGCGCATCGTGGAAAGCCACTCCTCGTGGAACAACTCCGTGATGAGCGCGTACAGGCTGGTGGATTTACCCCCCACGACCACATCTGTGAGTCAAACGTGATTCTCCAAGCTATTTCTTTCAGTCTTTCTCATGTTTTCTTGTGTAGATGATTAGGTGTAAGTGAAAATATTTGGCCAAATGCTTTAAATGTTTATCTTGCTGTGTAAAGAGATTTGTACATTATCATGTACAGATGCTGGATACGTTTATGTTGTGATTTTGACTAGACAGAACTAATAGCTTAGTTAATAGATATTATTAATAGATACTAATAGACCAAACATATATGCAATGTAAGGATGCATAAAAAGTTCAACTCTGCATAATTTTGGTGATCTATGCAAAAGCAGGCCAGCTATTGAGAGATTTTTGAGGGAGAATTCTCAGCCTTTGGGATTTTTTCTTCTTCTTGATGCTACATCCTTCCTAAATGTAATTTTTTTTTTTAATGTTTCTGTGACATTTAAACAGTTTAAGCTCTTCAACTTTTCTCAGGTGAAGTGGGAGTAAGTGGATAGAGATTTAAAGTTTAAGTTTAAATACTACAGTGATGAAATGTATTTATTATGCAAATGTGTTCTGTGGGGAAATCCGTCATACCAGTGTGAGTTTAACCTGGCTGGTTTGTCACTGGTCTAAAGTGTTTTTTTGTTTTTTTTTAAAGTCTACCAGTCTTAACCAGCTTGATCAAACTATTAACAGGTTGATTTAGATCCCACCATCTGGTAGTCCCTCTAATCTATCATCTAGATCAGCTGGACCTGTAGAAAACCAGTTTCCATCAGAAGGGAAACTGAAAAATATCCAAAGATTTTGACATTTTACTTACACCTTTCCAGGAGTTAAGCTATTCTGATAAAATATCTATCAAAAATCTTGTTTTATTTGTCTTAAATTCATACCTAGAGTTTAGACTGTGTCTTTATGCTACCAAGTCAGGTCAGGTGCATTGCATTTTTCTCATGTGAAGTCTCAATTCTTAAACACAGATGACTGAAACTGTCCTTCAGCGTTAATCACTTAATTTGACCATATATGGCTTGAGTCTGTGGTTTGAGCCTGAAGATGTTTTTGTGAGGTTACGTCCTTGGGGTTTTCACTGTTGAGATAATTATTAAACACTGAGCTGTGAGAGGACTTGTGAAGGCATGTCAGTGCCACAGAGGAGTACCACTGAATTACATATTTATGCTAATTGGGCATGTCTTGGGGCTGTTTATGCTTTATTTTACATGTTGCTTGTTGATGTCTCTTTCTTTCCCATCATTAAATCAAGTGACTGCTACAGTACTGATGGGTGTCTCTGCCCACACGATACAAAGTGTGCTAGATTTGTACAGGCATTCATTTAAACCAATAAATAAATACAGTAAAAAGTTTGAAATAATAAGATTTGTAACATTTTCTTGAGAGTTAATTTTAATCAGGATAAATCTTCAACAAATGTCTTGTTCCTATCTTTAAATCAGCATGTCTTCATCAGTAAATGAGATGTGAAAACTAAGCTAAAATAAATTAGATTTGCTAAGAGAAAATTATGACAGTCATTGATTTAATAGAAACACGTGATTTCAATGATTATGACTTAATGACCTAAACTGGGATTGAATGATTTTATTTTTATGTAATTCATCTACAAATTAATTAAACTCTGTTATTGACCTAATCTCTGTTGCTACAATGTTTTAGCACAAAATGAACGGAGGGGGGTGCTGTGTTTATGTCCTGAATCTGTATTTGGGTGGAATGTGGGGGACCTTAAAAAGGGCCCCAAGGCTGTTACTGTAACGAATTACAATTTTAGCTCTCTGAAATTATTTTATGTAATTCTGAGCCTTGTTTAGGAGGATAAATTTTTGGGGCAAGTGGGACTTATTAGGTGATGAACCAAATTTGCATAAATCATACACACGCATTTGTGCTTGTGACCCGTCACTAATAAAATGTGACCCAGAAACCCAGTGACAGCCCAGGCTGATAAGATGCACATATTTCCAAGCCACAGTGACATAGATTTAAGTCTATCAATAACTTTAATGGGTGTTTAGCATCATCTTATGCATTTGTCTCAAACTGACGGCAACAAACCTCATAGGAAAATCAGCTTCACTGACCATGAGGGATTAGGATAAAAAAGATGCACCATAATCATGCGATTATGATATAATCATATTCAGGTCCATGCTCACATATTGACCTCTCAATGTGTTCTTTTCCTCCTGTTGATTAAAATAATGTGATCTGTGAACAGAGACAGAGCGTGGACTGTTTTGTAGATGTAGGACAGTTTGTTGAGTTTGGGATCTTGTGCTTAATATCAATTTGTGTGGGTGCATAAATGTTTATTATGATGAAAACCGTTATTATTGTGAAAACATTCTGCAAGTACCATTATTTTGACTCATAGGAATTCATTCACCATTAAGAAAACACATTAATTGACTGATTATTTGGCACTAAAAAGCCCAATATATTATGTAACAACCAAAACAAGCTTATCTGCCAACTTTGGAGAAAATTTGCTTGTCTTTTACAGTGTTTCTCATAGAAATGCAGCATTCTCTGTCATTTGAGGGGAAAATGTCCCCAAAAGGACAACAGAACGCAGTGGAGCTAAGCAGCTCTGGGTAGTGTAGAGGAAAAACTGTAGCAGATGAAAGAGTGGATGGTATTGGCAGTGCGTGTGTTCAGCTGAGCTCAGGCAGCTTTGCTTTCTAACCAAGCTAAGTAATCATGGTAATGCGGTCAAACAAGCGCAGTAGCATCTGGAGTGCAAGAGAACCCATCCATATATGAAGGACAGCTGTGAACATCCTGCGAATTACAGTACATTCATATCTGTTATTTGGATCAAGGACGTAGCAATCATGTGTAGTAATGTGCATTAAAGAGATGCATGTTCAGTTATTTATTTTTAAATATATAACAGTAATGATGTATCAGTAAAAAAAAACAAAAAAACAACATATTCATTTTCACATACCAAATGAATGTGAATCTGAAGGTTCAGAATAATGCTGTTAAAGGGATAGTTCACCCAGAAATTCAAATTCTGTCACCATTACTCACCCTCCACTTGTTCCAAACCTGTACAGTTTTCTTTTTTCTGTTGCACACAAAATATATATTGAAGAAGGTTTTAAACCATACAGTTGACGGTAGCTATTGACTTCCATAGTATTTATCCCATACAGCTTGATGACAAAATTTTCATTATTGGCTGAACTATCCTTTTAATTTACATAATCTGAAGTATCATAACAGATTATTAAAGCCCTTTACAGTTGTAATGTTATAGTACATGACTGTTGCTTCTGTTTACCTTCATATTTGCTTAAAATAATGACACAATAGAAAGCAATGTTTTTGTAACAGGAGAGTCAATGTTTTATCATTCATTTGATTTAATCATTTGTAATGATGTGATTTGAAGATACAGTTTAGTGGAGGAAAAGGAACATATGTGTTTTATATTTTTTAATAATAATTTTTAAATGATTTGCTCAGTGCAGGTCACTAATTACTGATTTCCTCAAATGAATTACTGTTTGGCTTATTACGTCATTTATCTGAACTGCTGAACTACAAAATGAATTACAACCCCAATTCCAGAGAAGTTGGGACGTTTTGTAAAAATGCTATAAAATCAAGAATCTGTGATTTGTTCATTCTCTTTAACTTTTATTTAATTGACAAAAGTACAAAGAAAGAATTTCCAAAGTTTTCATTGACCAACGTAAATGTATTTTGTAAGTATGAACAAATTTTGATTTTGATGGCTGCAACACATTCCAAAAAAGTTGGGACAGAGGCAAAATAAAAGTGAAAAGGTTATAGAATATCCACTTTAAACTGTTTTGAAACAGTTCACAGTAAGCAAGTGAATTGGTAATAGGTCAAGGTATCGTGTTTGGGTATAAAAGGAGCATCTCAGTCTTTCCAAGCAAAGCTGGATCATGGCTCATCACTTTGTGCCAAATTCCATGAAAGAAGTGTCAAACAAATCAAAAATCACATTTCGCAATGCAAAATTGCAAAGAATTTAGGTCTTTCACCAACTACCACACGTAATATTGTGAAAAGATTCAGGGAATCCAGAGAAATCACAGTACATGTAGGGCAAGGCAGGAAACCTCAGTTGAATGTGCTTGACCTTTGAGCCTTCAGATGGCATTGCATAAGAAACCGTCATGCTGCGTAAATATAGCCACATGGGCTCAGGAGTAATTCAGAAAACTGCTGTCACTTAACACAGTCTGACAGATGCAAAAGCAAACATCTGTCATGGTATATGAGTGCATCAGTACAAATGGCATGGGTGACTTGCATGTGTGAAGGTACCACTGACATGGAGGCATTTATTGGAGTTGTACAGAGAAATATACTGCCGTCAAGATGATGTCTTTCATGGGAAGGCCATGGTTATTTGATCAAGACAATGCCAGCTCTCATTCTGCATGTGCTACAACAGCGTGGTTTCGTAGACTCAGAGTGAATGTGCTAGACTGGCCTGCCTGCAGTCCACATCTGACTCCTATTGAAAATGTATGACCAGTCATGAAAAGGAGAATCAGATAACGACAATCACAGACTGCTGAGCATCTGAAGCCTTGTTTGGTGAGTTGATGTGAGACAGTGTTAAACGTGCCTCTGTCCCAACTTTTTTGGAGTGTGTTGCAGCCATCAAAATAAAAATTTGTTCATATTTACAGAATAAATTTACGTTGGTCAGTGAAAACTTTGGAAATCTTTTCTTTGTACTTTTGTCAATTAAATAAAAGTTTACTCTTTACAATAACACTGAGTTGTATTTGTCCTCAGGAGTGGGAAACATAATGGTAAAAATTGTCAAAACAATCATTTTGTTGTTTTCGTGAGGCGATCCTGTTTCCAGAGCAAATGTTTTCATGATGAGTTATCCCATCTGCAGTAAATTAAAAATACCTTTAAACCTTCTTTCTTCTCTAGAATAACTACATGGTTTTGAAGAGGTTGGTGCACTTTGAAGCATCTTCAAAAATCCCACCAAAATGCCTTAACACAGTTACTGTCATATTACTCTGAGTGAGAAACAGATGTGGGACTCAAACAGTATCTATTTCATTAGAATCCTTCTCATTCCGGAGAAATAAGACCGTCTTATCTCAGCCCTCAAAGTTTTTCATGGCTTAGATCTTCATTTGACCCCAAACTCAGAAGTAATGAATGAAAACACACAGCAATGGCTACTGCTATATTTTGAAAAACCTTCAGAACAAATAAATTCACCAGTTGAGCTCAAGATGGAAGTGGTTTAACAAATGTTTTGATGACACAAAATAGCCCATGTCAGTTGAAGTTCATGAGAAACATGATTTGTATTAATTTAATTTGGATGTTTGTAAAAGGAACCATGTTCCCAAGGTTTTAATCTTTATTTGAACATGATTTTTTATCAGCTATGCTCTCGGAGTTCAAAATATTATTTGCCATCCTTGAAAGAAACAAAAACTATTTGTCTGCACAGTAGTTCTCAACCGGTGGCTTGTTTTGAAAATTAAGGAAAATTACTAGTGGTTAATGCAAAAAGAAAAATTCAGCTAAACATATAATCATGGTAAGGATAGCCAAATGCATCAGCTCATAAACATTTAAAAGAGAGGAGAAACGATTCCCATATATTGTGTTTTGTTGTTGACGTCAAAGGCTGTGTGTCCAAGCAAACCCATTTTGGCTCAAACTCATCGCTCACTCAGGAGAAACTAGCCAAATTAGACAGGCTGCGTGACATCCTCGAGAACATGAACACATCTACGCAAAAACAAGATATGACCCAGAAAAAAATGCATGGTTGTGTTATAGCTGACTTTGTGTTTTACATAACAAATATGATGATTTTGACAGTTTGTTGGTAAAGAGTTGTCTCTGCATCATCACTTGACACATACCGAAGGCAGAGACTGAATCTGCTTTGTCATATTTCCTCCAACATGACCACATGGTTACACTCATCTGCCTTGAAATGACTTTTCCGGGAGTGCTTGTCCTGCATTCCGCCATCTCATTTGCCCACAGCCTTGGCACTTAAAGGTCTTTTCATTAAAGCTTTTCCTGAGGAAATTGCAGTCAACAAATATCTGCTAAAAGATATTTTTGCATTTAATCATGATTGTTCTGTGAAAGCCTTTTGTGTTCCTTTTTACATTGTATCATGCCAAGTGAAATAAATCAAATTGATTACAAAAAAGAACGCTGACCTTTATATGGTTATTTAAAAAATCTCTCTTACCTTAAAGACTTTTTGTACCATGCTGTCTGGTGCTGGAAGAATGCATGCAATAACTTCCCAGGATCTGATTGAATGGATTGTTGTGAGAGATTATGCCATCAAAAACAATCCCTTTGCTAGGATTTCTTAGCTCTCATTCTTTTAAGTATCTATTTCAGTTTATTTAAAAGGATTTACTGCTCAAAGTGACAAAAAGCCTCTCTTACTGGCTTTAGATTAACATGGATACTGCTGCTCTAATTGATCTGTCATTTAGAGTTTATAATTATACTAAAAATTTCAGCTATACACTCACACACTTTAGCTTGCACTATACCAGATTGTCTCTCAGTACACACAAGACAGAAACATATTTATATGAACAGATTAAATGTCCTGATTTAGACCTGAATCTGCAATGAAAAGCATAAAGAAATGCAAGCTCACTGTCATTTAGGCCTGTTTAAATCCCTCTAAGATTGAAATGTGCACAAAAATCAGCTATAACTGGATTTAACTGCAAGTGCACAGACCTTTCAACTTAATGTTTCATACAGTCAAGAAATCAATCAAAAATATAGTATAAACTATAGTCAGACCTGAAAATGGCTGTATTGTAGTAGTGAATAAAGAATGGTTTACTGCAAATATATAATACAATGAAAACATATCCGAGGCTTATTGTTTGCGAAAACAGATTATATATGTCACAAATAAACACAAAAAAAGCCATTCTGTAATATAGTGAAAATTCCCATTTACAAGATAAACCACAACTGGATATTCTTTTGAGAAAAAAAAATGCATCATGAGATCTGTCTAAAAATGCATTCAATCCAATATTCAAAACATCTACAGTGTCTGTATTTATATTTCTGCTCCCCTCCCATATAATGAATTAATGAATGTCTTTGTGGTGTCAGCTAAGTTCAGGTTGTGTTTCTTAAACAGATTGCACACACTTCGATGCTAAGGTCATTATAAAGCAGCAAGTGCTGCTTTTCATCTGAGCTATTAATTAATGTGCCATCCTGTGTCTTCAAGGTTGCCATGGTGGAAGAATCCGTTTACCCTTTCCCAACAGTGGACGTGCCTGATCATGCTCATTACACTATTGGTGCTGTCATCCTTACTGTTGGCATTACTGGCATGTTGGGCAACTTCCTGGTCATATATGCATTTAGCAGGTGAGAAAAAAAGGCTGTGGAGAAGTTGAACACTTAATATGAAAACTGTATGAAATTTGTATTGTTCATTATCAAAAGAAGCTAAACTGTAGGCCAATGGATTGGTGCTCCGCATCATTAGGCCTGTGCCACTAACTTTGAATTGACACATTTCCACAATGACTTACAAAGATACATAACAGGTACAAGTGTATGCACTACTTGCTTTATGCAAGCACTATATAGGATAAATCACTATACAGGATTTACCCTATTATACTTTATCGACACAAATTGATAGGTGAAACAACAAACAGCCACCCACAAATAGTCTATAAACAAAGCATCAGGCTGTCTTTGAGTTCACATGAACAACGGTTAAAGTTACTTCGTCAGGCTACAGAAGAACCAGCGTTTATTTTTTTTCTACGAATCTTTGAGTTAACACGTACTAAACATGAGTGGAATTTGCACCGCAGCGCCCCCACACCTTGATGCTCATGACAAGAATAGCATGTATAGTTATCTTTATTGAAGTTAATTAGGTTTAAATCGCCGTCATGCATGGATGAATGATATTTTTGCAATTTTACACATAATAATCCACGATGATCACATTACACAAAACTGAAATTGCACGTCAAAATAACACATTGTCAATATTTTTTGAGACCCCCCAAAATTTCACAAATCCCGTTTTCAGGGGAGCCCATGTCTTATTAAGGGGAGCCGAGCTCCCCCTAGCTCCCCCGTAGTTCGCACCCTGTGTTTAGGAACAAATCAAGTGACTGTCTGAGTGAGTCATCAAACAGTCACTCATTTGATTCAGTAAAAACACTAGTTCAGGCAGGAACTAAACTATTGTGTGTTTCTTGTAGACACACTAATTGTTTCAGGTTTGTTTGAGCTATTTGGGTTGCACAGGGAGGCTGATATTCTCAAAGACATTATATATACTACTAAATGAACAGAGAAATTAACAACTGATTGTTATGTGTGTGTGTGTGTGTGTGTGTGTGTGTGTGTGTGTGTGTGTGTGTGTAGGAGCCGGACCCTGAGGACACCTGCCAACTTGTTCATAATAAACCTTGCCATCACAGACTTCCTCATGTGTGCCACCCAGGCGCCCATCTTTTTCACCACCAGCATGCACAAGAGATGGATCTTTGGAGAAAAAGGTACAAAGAAACGTACATGTATGGTTTCACTATATAGGACATAGATGTAGTTTTATGTGATGACGATGTCCCTGTTGGTAAAAGAGTTGAAGCAAAATGTGATTTGGTCAATTTAAGTGCTCAAACAGGACCAGTCAAATGTACACACAGACAGTCAAATAAATAGACTTATCTTTGCAGATAGATCATTGGTTAATGCATAGGCAGTGTCTGAAATAAAACATGCACGTCCATGATTTATTGTACTCTACTATACTTTTTGAATTATAATGAACAGATTTAAATTTAAAGAACAAGATGAATCACTTCTCATGTGGAATGGTTCAAATGAAGGAGAGGTTGCCCTTGGAGACGGCCTTGGTCTCTCAGTGCTTACAAGTATTCATACCGATCTTTCTTTATGCTTTTGTTGCTAAGAATGATGAATGTCTTTCTGTCCGATGTACATGTAACCTTTTCTAGTACAGTTGTTTCTTTTTCATCAGTTGCCAAATTGTAATATCTCTAAATTCCTCTAAAAAAAACTGCACATCAAGGCCTTTCTTGTTGATTTTCAGCATTAGCTCATTTTGCTCAGCTGTGAAATGCCGTTGTTTGTGGTATTAGATGATGGAAGACTATTTTCCCTGAGGTGTTTTAAATGTCAGCTCCTATCAGGACTGAATCTTAATTGCCTTCAACAGCCTTGACTGGGGTTTGTTGTAGTTTTCTGCTTGCTGACGTTTGCTATGAGATCAGGAGCTCTGTGATTGTGATTACTGTAGTGATTGATGCTGATCTTTTGTGTTCAGGGAGTTTACTGGGCAGCCTTTAAACTGTAGTCCGCTCTTTCCTCTGTGACAGGAAATCAGGTCACCCAGTCATAAGAGTGTCTTATAGAGAGGTGGTTGGTTTTATTGGAAAACAAGTTGCAGATATAAAACAAGCACTAAAATAAGCAGAAAACTACTAAAAATCAAGATATTTATCAAGATATCGCCTCCACCTACAACTGTCTTGAGAAATCTGGATATAAGAGGAAGCGTAATTAGGGTTTTAAGCACATGTTGTAATTGTTAAGATTTTCAAAGATCACCATTCGGACCTAAAAGTGATCAGGCAGACCAAACCATAAGAGACCTAAAACTTTGAGGATGATAGTATCCACCCCGTCTACAACGTCACCAATGCTCGTCCCGGTGACCCTTGGGTCATGATGAACAAAACGCATGTGACGGATTCAGTCACCACCCTGGCGAAATTTTTGGCTATATTGGATTTTTTTTGTACGATTGTATATTGAGCAACTCTTCACACATGTACGTGGTATTCATATGATATGATAGATCTCCTCATTCTGAACAACTTTGCCTTAAGAACCACTGTTGTCAATCAAATCGTTTGATAAATTATTCAAGATAATTAAAAAAAAAACTACTTTTGCAAACTAGTCCTAGGTTTTTTGCATAACCTCAAGAAAACCACTGCAGTACAATTCTGTGGACTCTCAATAATTATCTAAAAAAGGTTGCACTTTACAATTTGGTTAAATTTTAAAGGGTCACCATATTTCTATGGTAAATTACTTGGAATTGTCAAAAATGCCATTTTTAATCGTAGATTTAGTTAGATACTGACTTGCTAAATAATATGTGATGTATTTTTTTGTATTTGCTTAAATGCCTTAAACTGCTTGCAGCTGTATTTTTAAAATTATGGTTTCTACACCCAGAAATGTCATGTGAATTAATAAAATTATAGTTATGCCTAGCTGTACAATATTGTATGGGGTATAGTTAAAACATTTAAAAAATATTTTTAAAAAATCCTTATCCTTGATCCTTATCCAGTAACAGCTGGAAAAGTCACTATTCCTTTAAGTATTGTTGTGGACCATGGGGGCCATGGAGTCAAAAACGTTGAGAACCAATATTCTCAAATATTAAATATACTGTAAATGCAGTGCCGTAATTCAATCCTGCCTGTAACAAGAAAAAAAGATATCCTCTGTAAAACAACTAATTTATCATACCAGACAGCAAAAGTCAATTTATGTAATTTCCTCTCAAAGCAGTTTATTTGGCATATTGAAGGCATCTGCTCCATTGACTTCCATTCAAACAGAACAGCCTCTGGTCTTCCTGTTGGGATCCTGACGCATTATGCTTTTCCAAGCAGAGTTTGAAGCCTCCCTCCTGAAGGAGGGACTCTGACCCAGTTTCATTTGGTGGAAACTGTTAAAAGATGTGTTTCTTGCTTCTGTCAGCTCTGACTGCTCTACAAAACAAGGCATAAATATGACCACCGTTAATTCGATCGTGACAACTGTGTGCTTGATCCCCCTGAAAGCTTTCTCAATCAATCAGATACAACTCACAAAAATGCTCTTTTCCAGGATTAACCTGAAAGCATAATCTACCTGACAAGGTGTGAGAGAATAGAGAAGACTTCCTGATGTGTGAGAGGATTATCTTCAATAAAAGACACCTCTGTTTTGTAATTATTAAAGTGCATCTAGTAAATGTGTTCTGAGAAAACAAGCACAAATGAGCATGAATCAGATTTGAATGCATTTCCACTCATTCTGTTGTTTACATATGCCTTGGCAGTGTAGAAGACAGAGTGTGTGTGGATGTTGAGGAGGTGCCAGACTGTGTGTGTGTGTGTGTGTGTGTGTCAAGTATAATGGTGTGAAATCATCTGTTTCTTGGCTCTCCACTGTTTCTTCTTCTGTTTGACCTGTTTTATTGATGACATGATGTATCATGTGAAATAGACTTCAGACAGATCCAAACTAGCTCTATCTCTGTATTTGTGTGTGTTTATTTGATGTAGGACATCCTAGACTGTTACTAGGATACCATGATGTGCGTTTGGATATGCGGGGTGGACAAAGTTAATTCAAAACAGTGGTTCTCAATTAGGGAGCCGGGGCCCACTAGGGGGCCTCAGCAGTACTCAATATTTCATCAGGTGGAAATTTAGTTCATGTAAAAAAAATCTTTATCCCGTAAATCATGTAGTACAATACAACCCAATGCAGTAGTACAACCCAGTAGTACAAGACTCACTTAATTCTGTACCTCCTGTCTCTCCAGGTTGTGAGTTGTATGCATTCTGTGGGGCTTTATTTGGCATCTGCTCCATGATCACTCTCATGGTCATCGCTGTGGATCGATATTTCGTGATCACGCGGCCTCTAGCCTCCATCGGTGTATTGTCTCAAAAGAGAGCTCTGCTGATCCTTCTGATAGCTTGGGCTTATTCACTTGGCTGGAGCCTGCCACCCTTCTTTGGCTGGAGTAAGTGTAGTATATCTGTTGTTTTAACATTTATTTATTAAATGTTATTAAACTATTAAACTTTGTGAAATGTTTTAATTGAAAAGTGTTCTTATGTTTTTTTGTTTTTAATTAATGCCACTTTGATATTTTTATCTAACAGGCCTACAAGGGCATTCATACATGATTAAATGTGGTCTGAAGGGATAGTTCACCCAAAAATTAAAATTATGTCATCATTTACTCTCCCTCATGTTGTTCTAAAACTGTATGAATTTCTTTCTTCTGTAGATCACAAAGAGGTTATTTTGAACAATGTTGGTAACTAAACAGTTTTGATGACCTTCGACTTCCATTGTATGGACAAAACCAAAACACTGAGAAATTTTGCAAAATATATATTTTTTATGTTCAACAGAAAAGAAAGACATGTAGGTTTTGAACAACATGAGGGTGAATAAATGATGACATAATTTTCATTTTGGGTGAACTATCACTTAAAGTGTAACATCATATCCACTGCATGTGTTTCTATAGAAAGTCAACAGAATTCCCACAAATGTTGTTCCAACTAGTCAAACAACAAAGAATTTTATATTGAACAATATTGATGAAATGTTAAGAGTTCATGAAGTCCCAGCATGCACTGCATCATTAATAAATTATATGGCTACTGTTATAAGATTATTGTTTTGTTTTATTGTTAGTTATTTGCTGTGTTGTGATGTAAAGAGCTCATCTTTTTACATTTGTTGATTGTCACTGTTCTAAATAACTGAATGCATCATGTTGCCTTGCACTTGTAGCTTTTCTCAACAATTCCTTTTTTACAGTGCAGGTTACATAGTAAGAGAAACAGGTAGGTGCTTATGAGCAATATTCATTCTCTTCCAATGCTCTTTGTAAAAGCATTTCTACAAACATGATTTATACAGAATAAGGAAAAAGGGCAATACTGCAAAACTTGAAAACAGTCATTCTTTGTAAAAAGGCATAAAGTGACCCTATCTACACATCCATCAAATAAATGTATGAATATCACTGAATTAGATAACAAAATCAAAACAAATGTTATTTATATTAGGCCAGATGTCAACATGTCATGTGATGTCTGTGCATTTGCAGGTGATTAAGTGTGGTCCTGTGCTAATGGAGTTGAGTATACCTTTGATGCTCTTTTCACAGGATGCATCAGTCTTTTATAAGCTCAGGTCTTTTGGGACAAGTACACTGAGCATTCTGGGTCATCCATGTGTGAGCACACGAGCATGAGAGTTGTTAGCCAATGGCTTTACAAACAGTGCGCTGTTGGACTCTGATCTGTGTCGCATAAAGGTGGTCTCTGAGGGCCGAGGCTTTCAGCTTAAGAGGGATAGACTGGTAAAGCCTGGTGCTTTTGGCTCTCCAGCACTTCCTATCTCTGGTTTACAGGCAACCTGCTCTTCACACGAAGACTGTCTGTGTCCTTTAACGGTCCTGACAGCTTATATCTTCCAAACTCAAACCTCAGAGAACTGATAATAGCGGCGCATATGCATGAAAGCCAGACTGTGATTGGTGGCAATAAGAAATACTGTGATTATAGCGTATTTCTTAAATATCCTCAGCTGTGTGTGCATTGGGTTGTATTTCACTGCGTTTGCCCAGCAGCAAGACAGTATTGTCATGGAATGCCAGGAGAAAACAAGGTTAGATCCAAGTGCAGTTTATTAAGGTACAAATAAACAGAACAGAACAAAAACGTGGCAAAAGGTAATCCAAAAACACAGGGAACAGAAAACACGATGTAACCTCAAACAATACTGCAGCAAAGACAGACAGAGTGAGCATGGTATAAATAGTGATGGGATGATGAGTAAATTACTAACAGGTGATCATGATCAGAACAGAAACGACAGGCAAGGGACTATGGGAAATGGAGTTCAAAACATGTAACACTGAAACGGGAAAGAGCCCTCAAGTGGCCAGTCCAGGGCACCACAACCAGACACTGTGACAAGTATTCATAAATCCTTTTTCTTTGTGAGTTTGTTCCAGTTTTGACAATATTTCTCCGTGTGTAAAAGGCTTAGCTGCTGGCTATCCTTTACTTTTCTCCACACATTCTGTTATTTTATAGTTATTTTTCTGTCTGTCTGTCTGTCTCTGTTTTGCAGGTGCTTATGTTCCTGAAGGGCTGTTGACCTCTTGCACCTGGGATTATATGACCTTCACACCCTCTGTGCGAGCTTACACTATGCTCCTCTTCATCTTCGTCTTCTTCATTCCACTTATCGTCATCATCTATTGCTATTTCTTTATTTTCCGATCCATTCGCAGCACTAATGAGTGAGTACTTCGATACAGATCTAACAGAACAGTATGAATTAATTAGTATCAGCAGTGTTCCAAAGCTGTTAAATGTCTTTTGTTTTAAAAATGTAAATTGTATTGGAGAAATGTCAGTAAAATGTAACACTGAAGTACTTAAACACTTTTCTTCTGCATTTTAATTAATCTTGAGGTGTGACCTATTGAAAATAGATAAGGTTTTGATGGCAGTAAACCAATATTAGAAAGTGATATTTAACCGTTGCTTTCTGTTTGTCTTTGGAAGAGCTGTGGGCAAAATTAATGGCGATAACAAGAGAGACTCAATTAAACAATTTCAACGGCTGAAAAATGAATGGAAGATGGCGAAAATTGCTCTTATTGTCATTCTCATGTATGTCATCTCCTGGTCTCCATATTCAACTGTGGCACTGACAGCTTTTGCTGGGTAAATGAATCCCAACCCTGACAACACAATATAATGTAATATAAAATATACATAGCCATTCAAAAATTTGGTGTCAGAAAGATTTAGTTTTTTAAGAAATTATTACTTTTATTCTGCAAAGACACATTAAATTGATCAAAAGTGACAGTAAAGACATTAAAATGTGTTACAAAATCCTGACAAAAAATGTATCACGATTTCAACAACAACAAAAAAGCAGCACAACAGTTTTTTACATTGATGATAATTAAAAAAAAAAAGTGTTTCTTGAGCAGCAAATCAGCATATTAGAATGATTTCTGAAGGATCTTAAAACTGGAGTAATGGCTGCTTTGCAGCTTTGCCATCAGGAATAAATTACATTAAAATATATTAAAATAGAAAACTGTTAAAAAATGTTTCACAATATTACTGTTTTTACTGTATAATATAATATAATATGTGTAATTTTATTGTTTACATTTTTTTAGCTTAAACATATATTTAGCATAATTATGTTAATTTATTTTTTTCAACTTATTATTATGTAGACAACAAGTACCAAAGTAATGGCATACAGGGCTGCAATATAACAAAGAGTGAAAAATTTAAGGGGGTCTGAATACTTTCCGTACCCACTGTACATAAATTAACATGTTAATTAATCTATACACTTGCATTTTCAGGTATTCTGATATGCTCACACCGTATATGAATTCAGTACCTGCTGTGATAGCCAAGGCTTCAGCAATCCACAATCCCATCATTTACGCCATCACACACCCCAAATACAGGTAACTGTGGGAGTCTCATTGAGAATCGTTGATGTCAGTTCAATATATTTTTGAAACTAGACTGGTTTAGCCAAAATGGTAATGAAAAACATTAATGGGACTGTAAGTGGTAATGTTTGACATTTTAATGGACAAACTCACTTTCCATTAATGCAGAACATGGGTCAGAGATTAGATTACCTGGTCTGGCCCCATTAGGACTAAACACCTGAGGCAAATTGTGATTGTTTTAATTTTTCCTAGTGTCTAGCTCACTGAGCCATTCAATCGCAAATTGATCAGAAACATGCATTGCTTCTGGGTTAAAGTGTGAGATTCCATTTTGATTGATTTCATTAACCTGAATATCCATTTGAGCATAAAGAATGATTAATCCTGCACATAGCATCCTGATGGTATATGGTACCATGTGTAAGGCCTGCTGGTTCAAAAAGTCATTTTAATTAGATTTTCTCCCACAACACTAAACCACATTTTCCTAAACACTTTTTAGTCCCTATGCACTGAACATGTTTTCATGCATGCAATGACAAACGGTTCATTTTGATTCAGGTCTAAAGTGTATTAATACTATTTCAAATGTATCTGAATTATGTAGCTAATTTGAAGCTCTGAAGTTATTGCATATATTCTCCTGACGCAAAACATTTTCAATAAACTTATTTTGCCTATTACTATTTCTGCCTTTAAAACTGGTTTCACTGCTACTGAATTAAAAACTTATCTGTGTAAATATTTTTTACAAGACTACACAATGATTTTGACATTTCTGATAGCAATCAGTGTTATTTTAGTATTATTATTTATTTTTATATTTTCATTATTTTAGTTATTATTTGACTGAATAGGTTTGGATCATGCTCTATGTAAATATGAATCCACCATGTCTACGGTGTCTCATGCCTGTATCTCATCTGTGTCTTTGTCAGGTTGGCCATAGCGAAATACATTCCGTGTCTTCGTGTGCTGTTGTGCGTTCCCAAGCGTGACCTCCATTCGCTCCACAGCAGCTTTATGTCCACACGTCGTTCCACCATCACAAGCCAGTCCTCTGATATGTCTGGACAGTTTCGCAGAACCAGCACCGGCAAGTCCCGGCTCTCCTCAGCCTCCGACAGCGAATCTGTGAGTGTGTGAGCCTGATGGATCTCTAGATTTGATGATTAGTCTTCTCATGGGCAAATGTGATTGTAATGGATGTATTTTATGACCTGTTTCTACTCTTCAGGGCTGGACAGATACTGAGGCCGATCTCTCGAGCATGAGCTCCAGGCCTGCCAGCCGGCAAGTGTCTTGTGACATCAGCAAGGACACTGCAGAGATCCCAGACTTCAAACCTTGTAACTCATCCAGCTTCAAGTCAAAGCTCAAAAGCCATGACTCGGGCATCTTTGAAAAGGTGACCTCACAGGCTGAATGTATTACATATGTGGCAAGTATCAAAGGAGTGTAGCCTGTCTTACGAAAATGTGTTCATGCAGAATTGCTAATCCTGTCATCCTCTGTTTATCCTCATGTTACTCTGTTGAAGTATGGGCATAGCTTGACATTTGACCTAGCCAGTCAATTTGGTCAGTCACATTTTTAAACACATTTCAGCTTTCTTATAGTAAACCTACAAATTCACACTCAGTGTACCATATTCAAGTGAATCTGTCATGGTAATCAGATACGTTGCACTATGTCTGTTTTTGCCACACTAAACAGATAAACATTTGTCGACACAATCTCAAAGTAGTCTTGTATTAAGTGAATCCAGGAGTGTGTTACTCACCTACTGCTTTAAAACAAACATCTGTTGGGCATGAATTAAGTATTATAGTATTAAGTATAAAATTAATGTACAATGGCAGGCACTGAAAATAGACAATTAAGCAGTTTATGTTCTAAAATCTATGTTTAAGTTTTGTTGTGGGTAAATGAAAATAACCTTTATAGGTAAATGGTCCTCCTTCTGACATAAATGTAGAACACTGAGCTGCGTCCTGCAGATCACCTTTATGAGATTGTCTGTGTCCTTATCATCAAACACAACATGATTATAAACAACTTTTTTCGTTACGTCCAGATTTGCTAATAAGCTTAAGCTTATTGCTTACAAAATTCCACAAACTAAGTCTCTAATGCTCACCAAGGCTAAATTTGTTTGATTAAAATATGGTGAAAGCAGTAATTTGGTGAAATATTATTACAATCAAAAGAACTGTTGTAATATATTTTAAAATGTAATTTATTCCTGTGATGTTATATGATTCTTTAGAAATCATTTTGATTTTGATGCTCAAGCAACATTTTTATTCCTGTCAACATTAAAAAGTTGCTGTGCTTAATATTTTTGGAGAAACATTTCTTTTCAGGATTCTTTGATGAATAGAGAGTTCAAAAGAACTGCATTTATTTGAAATAGAAATGTTTTGTAACATTATAAATGTCTCAATTTAATGTGTACTTGCTGAATAGAATTATTGCTTTCTTTAAAAAAACCTTTCTGACCCTAGACTTTTTTGATTATTATCCTGACTCTCTCATTTCTGACCTAGAGTTCCTCTGATGTGGAAGATGTGTCTGTGGTAGGACTCATTCAGCCGGACCGTACTAACCCTTTAGCTGTGAGTCTGTTTAAGTTCAGTAAACCAGTCGAGCTTTTGCAGGATCCTGTAGGTGGCATGGTTTGTAAAATTTGCTGACGTCAGGAACGTTTTATTCTGGTGTGACTGGCAGAACAACTCGCCCAGGCAATCATATTTGTACATGAAAAATCTGAAAGCATATTCAAATTGATAGAATGCTGTTTGATGAATCACAGTGTGCTGTTGAAAAAATTTAATTAGTTAATGAATTTGAATTCTGATTGCAGAAGAAAAGCATGTAATAAAATGACTGTTCCATTTTTCCATGCCTTTTTCTGCAGAAGAAATATGTGCCTTTGAAAGAATAATCCTAATCATCTTTCATACATGAATGCCTATTCATTAAACCAAGAATTCTGCCATCAGTGTTTTGTTACGGAGGTCATCTTGTTTGTTTTAATGCTGATTTAATGCACAATAAAGGCTGATAATTGGCAATAGGTAGATTTAATCTCTCAAAACCTTCCTCTCTGCTGTTTGCAGGCTGGTGACGGTACAGACATGCCAATTTCAAGAGGTGCGATTGGTCGGATTCCCAGTATTGTCATCACCTCTGAGTCTAGCTCTTTCCTGCCCTCGGTACGGCCCAGCTACAGAAGCAGCCGCTCAAGTGTGTCCAGTGCTGGGGCAAATCCACCCAGGAGAGACTCTCGTGGAGGAGTCCAGCAGGGGGCAGTGCATCTCTCCTCTGCGGCTGAAACCCATGAGTCCGCTCACTTATTAGACAACCCTCACCCTCAGTATCTCTAGTGCTTATACCTCTTCACTCGCCGTGTAAATCTTACCTTCAAGCTTTGTGTTGAGGTTTAGTGTTTTTGTGAGTTATCCTGTTCTGTGGTTTAGACCTTTAGTAAGGGGAACTTGAAATGAAGAGAGATTAATCAGTGCTCTGTATCACAGAATGTAAAATATGAAAGTCTGAGAGAAATCTTAAACAGCACAAGCCACAGAATGCATAAGCCTGGAGCAGGGACACATCATTATCTCGCTAAATCACACCAACAGAGAATGCGCAACTTATGTCATGCATGCTGTGTGTGTTTGCTTCAATCTATCATCGAGATGAATGACCCTAATGAATATTGGTCACATGTGCATCCACCTCTACAGCCGTGTTGTTTTTGCTATTCTTTATGTTTTTAATTATCACTGTTTGAATATTCACTTTAGAGTACACGATCAAATTATATTCAACTATTAATGTTTGAACAATTATGTTGCCTTTTTACTCAGTGACTGGATGTAACTCAAATGTGATGGTGGCTGCTCTTCTAGATAGTTCTGGAAGACACGGTTTAGCAAATAAACATAGCGTTATCTAGTGTTACTATAGCTTGTTCTTGAGTGGTTTGTTTGTAAAAAGGAATCATTTTTTTGTCCAGATGACTACAGTCTGTGGACTGTTTATATTAAGTATAGTCTCAAATTGTATCAGAATATATATTTGTTAATGTGTATCCATTCACATGAAAGACACAGTATATATGTATCCAACACCAAGGAGAACATTATTGTATATTTGTAATGCACTTATGTGGTTGTTCTTATTTATTTTTTTAATAAACCTGCAGTTGTACACATTGTTTCTTTTCTCTATAGAATATGGAGAGGAGCAAGTACTTTCATAATCAAATTAGCAAAAATAATGCTAATTTTTCCTTCATAAAATATTAGTCAAGTGACATCACTAAATTTAAAAAAAGCTGGTCTATTTATAGAGATGTTTCTCTAGCCTTCAGACATCGCTGTCCTCACTAACACATGCTGTCAGTAATGATTTGACATCATTTTTCTCAACCACAACTTTCATGGTTTTTCCTTTGTATTTGGAGAATCACAGCAGAAGTTCCCTACATTGTCAGGATAAATGCTTCTGAGGATGAATGGGCTTTTACATGACAAGAAGCCTGCTCTTAAACTCAATGAAAAAGGAGGGATACAGAAATAGAAGTGGTTTACTAGTGGTATTATTTTATTTTTGTGGTTCTGCAAGTAATTTTGAGTTAATTGTACCCAAAGGCTAAACACATCTGCCCCCTCTGGCCACATGTTGAACTGCATGAGCCCACTTTTTAGTTTGTTGTTTCTTTAAAGGGGTCATATGATGTTGCTAAAAAAAACATTATTTTGTGTATTTGGTGTAATGAAATGTGTTTATGCAGTTTAAGGTTCAAAAAACATTTTGTTTCTCCTCTATGCCCCGCCTTAGCTCATTGGTCTGAAAAGCGAGGTGTGCTCTGATTGGCCAGCTATCCAGTGCGTTGTGATTGGCCGAGTGACGGAAATGTTACGCCCCTTAACATATTGCGATGATGCCCTGTCCGGCCGGAGCGACGAAAAACATTAAAGCCCATTATAAACTAGGTATTTGTTGCATCCAGTGGGGACATAATTACGGATTACAATGACTTATACTGTCTTTAACTGTTCTGGAACAGTGTTGTAAATACAACTTAACCACTGATTTCTAGTTGTGTCCTCTTTTGGAAGGCCAAACAAAGTATTTTCGCTTTCGCAACGAAACACACAGCGTCTTCACAACATGGCGGCAGCGGCGGCGACTGGAACAATAAAGTTACGCCTTCTTTCTTTGCGTGAACATTTGGGCAGCGTTATGTAAATCTTCCCACATCGTGACGTAGACATGTGGGGGCGTGTTTAATTTTCTTATTTGTCAAGGGGGGAAAAAAAACAGATCTTTTAAATTGTAATGTTGACAGTAATAATGTTTATTTTACTATATTTTTTTATCAAATAAAGGCAGCCATGAGCATAAGAGACTATTTAAAAACCCTTAACAAATCTTACCTACCCCAAACGTCTGAACAATAGTGCATACTCTGGAATTCGGTTCAGTAAAGGCTAGAAATATTGGGCATGTGAGTGTAAAATGTGTGGATTTCCATCTCAGTCATGTCTTCTTCTCAAAGGTAAATAAGAACATTATTCATGTAATCATGTCTGTGTGTGCACTGTGATACGTGGTTAAAATGCTCTTACACTGAGTCCTTTCATTGCAACTATGAAGCAGGTTGTCATTTTTAAATAATGAATGCACCATCTGCTCTTTCACACAATGCCCTCCTGTGGGCAATGTGCCATTTGCCAATTCAGCAGTGGCTCTTGAAAAAACACACATATATGACATTAAACATTACAGCAAGAAATGCTTGCACACGTCCGCACAATATTCCTTTATGGGTTGGAAAAGTAACAAAAGTGTGTGTTTTAGCACTCTTTTCTCTTTAAAGAAAAAGTTTCTCTTGTCTAAAAGTTAATATTAATCCATCTAGCATTACGCATTTACATCAGTGTGTCAATGTGATTCATGGAAAAATCAGATTGTAAGTAATGTATGCTGTATCTGAGCATGAAAAACAAAATATATGTTTTGAGTTCCAACTCTGGCAGTTACTGGCTGATGTGCTCTAGGGCAGTGTTTCCCAACCGGGGTGCCCTGTAAAAAAAAATCATTTTTAAAAATATTTTTAAATTGCTCAAATGTTCAAAAAAGCATCTATTATATAATATCAATTTCTGATGTCGCCAATAATTAGAGATGCACCGAAATTATCTAGGAAGGCAGGATCTGCATCATAACCTGATCATGTGGCATGCAAACCCCTCTCAAGTGTGTCACTAACAGCAGTTATTCATTCAGTCACTGTGACTGACGTGTCCTCTGGGGTCCACGGTTCTCCTCAAATCTCCAAACTGTGCCACCTGTACATCAGCATATATAAATAGCATTCATTCATCACATTTAGTTCTCAGTTATGCTCCACTGCTTTTTAGGGGACTTTTCAGCTGGTCAAATTGGAGTTCCAGTTTGCAGACCAGCTAAGAAAACCACTTTAGCTGGGAGACCAACTAGACCAGTTTAAAGACCAGCAAACAAGTTTATGCTGGTTTAAGATGCTTTTTTTTCTAGGTTTAACTCAAACACCTATTTTAAATCGGGCTGAGAACTAAGTTTAGTGATTTAAATATAGGGCCCTGCAGAATGTCTGATGTCTTTTGAGGCTTTTTTATAGGTCAGATGTTAAGTTGACTTATTTTCAAAACCGTTGACAAGGGCAACAGAGGGACGACTATCTCTTTAATAATTCCTCTCTAATGAAAATCCCTCGCCCTCCGTCTCCCCGTCCCGTGTGGGAAATTACGAATCCTACTATGGGGAAAAAGGCTTTACTCATTAATATTTATCAGGTCATGCTGTGTTGCTTGGTAACTCCACTAACACATCAGTCGCAAAAGCTAATTAATATTCACGAGCCAAACGCTCACCATATGATGATTCGTTAATTCGCCAGGTGATTAGCTCGGCGTCTGCATTCCAGCGAATCGGGGAGGCCTACTGGGGGAACGCCACATTCTATAATAAATATTCATGAGATAATCCTTCAGCATAGTATGATTGGTCAATTTGCGTCCCGCGTGCTTACGTACACCGGGGGTTCCAGGGATCTGGCTGGCGTGAGTGACAGAGCTCGCCTCTAGAGGAAACGGAGCGACTCCAAACTGCAAGGCTCGCGGCTGTCAGTATAAAGCAACTTTTAAGCATGCAATGTAGGTTGAAGCAAAACTTTTTAAAGAAGTTGTTTGTCTTTAATGGTTTGTTGAATGGAAATGGAGGCAACAGGCTTGACACTACTCGAGACGCTCAGTGGCTGCAGTCGCGTGAAACCATTTCTAAAAGCATGGTCTCTCAGTTAGGGCTTCATTCATAGTTTTCTCATTCTTCCATTCCTACCGATATATTACTACATATTACTAAGAGTCTAAATATAGACTATTCTGCAGTCAGTGGCTTGTCTGTTATTGTTTTGAATTTGTTGTGAGGTGCATTTGTCTGGTTTTGGCTTCTGGCAAGACTGATTGAGTGACGCTCAAGCTCTTTGAAGTGTTTTTTTTTTTTTCTTTCCTGATGTGTGTAGTTTTGCATGGGACATTATTTACATGTTTTGCATGTTTCTATCTGGTCAAAGATGGATCAATTATATTTGCTTATATTGTAGTAGCTACATGTAATTCACTACTGTGCATGGTGAAAAGTTGTAAAAGTGTAAAGCTGTAACTGAGGTGGGATACATGTTGTCTTCAGGTGGCAACTGTTCTCTGTATGTATGCACACAATTGACCAAATAATCATAAATCAACTAGTGCAATATCCTGTTGCGTTGCGTTTGTGTAGATTCATATCGGTGGTTCAAATAATGTACTAACTCTCATTTGATCTGCTGTAAGGTCATCAGTATTCAGTGATAATGTGGTCTATTTAAAAATTATTATGAACATAAAATTAATGTGATGAATACATAATTTATCTGTATATATATTTATATACACAGATGTGTATTTATATATTATATATTTTTATATTTTAAATAAATGCTGTGCTTTTGAACTTTCTATTCATCCTGAAAAATGTATTAAAAAAAAAAAAAATCTACATTGATAATAATTGGAAATGGTTCTTGAGCACCAAATCAAAATATTAGAATGATTTCTGTAATATCATGTGACACTGAAGACTGGAGTAATGGTTACTAAATTCTTTATTTAAAAAATTGTAATAATATTACACAATATTACCATTTTTACTGTATTTCCAATCTAATGCAGTCTTAGTAAGCATAAGAGATAAGATATAATATACATATATACATAACATGCATAACATATATACATGCATACATACATACAAATACATATATACACACACACACACACACGCACATACATACACACACACACATATATATATATATATATATATATACACGCCATTGTAATATAACATACCATAGCATTGTAACATACCATACAGTATGTGTGGTTAGAAAAGATACATAAACTTGAATCGGAAAATACTTTAAATCAGAAAAACCCAATGCAAGTTTTTAAATAATAGTATGTTGTCTTTGCCAAGGCTTACAATGGCAAGCACTGTATAAATTATCAAAGCAATGTCACAAACTGTCCAGGACGCTTGTTCTCTGAAATGCTGTCTATGAAGGCCTGATTGTTGAACATTCATGTACAGTATTACTTCAGATTCTTCCGTTGACAAAGAGTGCTAAACTTAGCT